ATTATATTTTTTATATTTATAAAAAATAAAATATTTTTTTCTAGCCTTTTATAAATGTATTTCTTTCAATTATTTAAAAATTCTGATTATCATTAAAAGTCTGATATTTGAAAATGTTACAACAAGGAAAAATATATTGCCAATGTAAAGCATCTGTAAAATAACATCCGCAAGGTGAAGTTTTGATGTATGATCTTGTCTCATACCTAAACATATATTATGGATAAAATGTCTCTTTCGAATTAATTATACAATTATGCTAAAATAATTATAAATTGTGACTATAAAATATCAAAGTAGAAAAATTTTCTCATTAAAAATAAATATGATTACACGAATCTTGCGATTTCTCTCACATTTCTCGATTATAAACGATTTATTTAGCAAATATGCTGTCACGTTGTGAAAAAATTATCACCTACTTTATTATACGTTTCATCAAATTTATCGAGTTTCATTCAAGGTAAACTCCAAATGTCGAACATAATCGATTTATCAAATTTCACTCGTTTGCATTACAAGATCGGTCTTTCAGACGCGACTATTAAATAGCGAGATCCGATATGTAATCGCATTTTTTTGTATGGTACGTGTAATCATGTTTATATCACGAATAAAAGTGTCACATAATGTACAATATGTTACATTAATCATAAAAAAAAATAGGACATTATCATATCAAGAAATTCAAACTCTACGTATCAAAAGAGATAATCAAAATTACTTAAAATGTTTTTAATTATAATTACATTCTTTCTCAAAGTTTAAATTATAAATATGCTGCAATTGTCAATATAATTTCCCTTATCAATATATTTGTTTTGGCGTCTTTCGTATGTATGTAAATATAAGAAAATTTCTCCAATTTTATTTAATTAATATTCTAATAAAAGTTGTATTTAAGCGCAAAACATATGTTTAACACAATATAATTTTTGTCATATATTGATTAATAACACATTAATATTGAGACAAATAGTGGAAAAATAACATAGTATAATTATCGTGATAATGTAAACATATGCAGATACTTATTTTCGTTATATCATCATTGTTTTCGAGATATGTCTCTGTCTCAAAATATTTAATTTGAAGATATAAAACGATATCGTCGTAAAATAACACTCTTGCGAAAACATTTCAATAATGCATGTATAAAAAGTTGTGTTAGTTCAAGTGTAACAATGTTATACTCAATAAATAAAATATTTATTCGGCTATTTGTGTGAATATTTTCATATAAATCGTATCTTTTATATATAATATATAGACAATCCATAATAATATATTTAATCCATACTACAATATTTCGACAAAACTGTCTTGTAGTTGGAATAAATTTCAAAAATAAAATCTTTCAAATTATAAGTAAAATCAACAAACTAAATTCAATTCTCACATGTAATCTATTAAAGAATAATTTATAATCACCGACGTACATGTGCACTAAACAGAATTAGTAGCACGTGAAACCAAAATTAGATCTCAGGTTGATGCAGTTTCAATCTCCCAGAATACGTTCCTCCACTATTTTCACATCAAGACACGTTTTGCTTAGACACAAATATCTTTGCGAACGGATCCGTACCATTATAATAATAATAATTGAAACGTTCTCTAAACCGGTAGCACGCCGGTTAAATGTACACACATAGCGCAATACGATTCCGCCGACGTCGCGGTGACAACTGAAGGCCCATGTATATAATGCATCGAGGCGAGGCCGAGAAGAGGCCCCACCAAAGCACGTTCGAACCGAAGTCGAGAACACCAGGTGTGTGTCAGACCGGGGGACTCCTGCCGGCAGGTGAGAACGATCAACTGATCTCTGGCCAAGGATAATCATTCGACCGGCAAGGATGGCCGACGTTCCGGATCCGTTTGCATTTCTCGAATAAATGCTCGTCACAGAAATGAAGATGGGCAAAATCATTCTCTAATAATTATTTACTCTTCACAAAAATGAATATATTTATACTTATGAGATTGCTCAAATGAAAAATTATTTAAGAGAAAAATGGCTTTTCCAAATAAATATTTTTTTTAGATATATATATATATGTATTATTCATATTGTCCTTTTTCGTCAAATCTACAAATATGCAAATAGAATATACAAATAGAATTTGAATGCATAGCTTTTGGGAATAATTAAACATTTATAGCAATTTAAGTGGATTTGATAGTATTATAAAAACTTATATTTGCATAGTTTGTATAGGGGAGCAATATAAACTTAAGTGTTTTTAGCCTGATATATTTATTATTGATCCAATGGAATGTTAATAAAATTTTTTTAAAGCTGAGCACCATACACACTGTTGTAATTTTCACCGTCGTCAAACGATTCAGACCTGATAGAAGAACTTATGGAAAGTAATAAAAGGGGCAAGAGAAGAAGGGGTTCTACCCACTGGTTCCTGTCTACCTTGAGCGGTGCTCTTTCATTCTATCCTGTTCCTTTCCAAACATTTTTTGCTCTGCTGTTGTGCGATTCTTTATTCTACATTACCTAAGTTCTCTTTCTTATAATACTGATTTTAACAATAACGCTATTATATTTTATATAAGATATGTTCAATGCACTTTTTTTTCATCTACGACTTTTTGATCGATTTAAGATCGACTTCATTATTTATTATAATATATAATGATTCAAATAATTAATTCTTGATTATTACACAAATAAAAAAAATCCGTAATATATTTTATTATCTTTTCGATAAAATATGTATCCATCACAATTATGACAGTTATTAATGTTTCGTTTAAGAGTATTCATATTATTATTACAAACTAATTGCTTAAACAAATAAAATAATATTTTTCATTTAAAGCAAATATAATATTTAAAGCGTGTTAAAAGGAGACATTTGTCTGTTAAATGTGTAAATACATTTTTTTATTCATTTAGCATTAGATTAGCATATTAATTTAATCGCTCTTATTGATTCTTTCATGAGTTGTTATGAAATCATTTTTCTTCTCTTCGTTTCCTCATTGCATTGAATGAATAACAAGTGTTACAGGCTTCGTCGAAAAGCATACCGTGCGCGTGCGATTTTTCCAACGTCATGTTTCACAACTCGTCGCGAGGTCGTCAACGAGAACGAGGATGTTCCTCACGCGGCTCATTAGCGTAGTGAATTAGTAACTCCAGTTCAACGAGCTCCGGAGAGACATCCAAGAGATAGAACGAAAAAACATGCCCGAACGAGCACGCGCGCGCATAAAAGGAATTTTGTCCCTTTTGCTTCACGCAAATGATCACTATTCGAGGGTTGAAGACTGGTTCCTGGCGCATTCCAAACGGATCCGATTCTACAGAAGAATCATATAATTTTGTGTTTTAGATCGACAGAAAATTTGCATTCAATAAAACTTTTTTTACGAGAACATTAATTTTACCGATTCCCAGTTCCTGTTTTTGTCATAATTATATTAAATATATGCAAATTGTGTGAAGAAATTCAAATATGTAATTATTAAATTTTATTTGTATAAGATAAAATAACTTATATAAGATAAAATAGAATTGAATTGGAAATTTTAGTACATTTTTTTACATATAATAAATTGATCGTCTTTTAAAATCCTCCATAAATTATTTATGAGCTTTTCAAATTGGCTTTCGTGTTTTATTAAATAAACGGTTTTTAAAATCTCTCTCATCAAAAGTTTAAATAATTTATCTATCTTATAAATAAACTTAGAAGGAGACCCGTAAAATAATACGTTATTGTAATACATATTCCAGTCTTCATCCTTCATTCTTTCAATATCAAGGATTCCTCAAAAGAAGAAACAGATATATTGCATAAATACCTGGGAAGGAAACCGGTCTAAATGGAATATATAGAACAATTGCAATCGGCCGGTTGTGGTAAAATCCCATTTTGACTAATGGCTGCTAGCGTGTGGTCCCATCCATTTTTAACACTGGCACTGGCATAATGTCGTCATTGCTACTTTCGAGACGAAACGTCGGACAATTCATTACTCATTGTCAGTTGTGCACACGTACTACTTGCCTCGCATGAACCACACTGCAAAAATTAACGCTTGCGTTAGTTGTTGAGATGTTGCCTGCATTGGGCTTCTGGTTATTATGATATTTTTACGCAAAGTTCTAATGCGTTTATATGTTTCTCCTGAATTTAAGAATATTATGCCAGAAAACAATATATATAACAAAAAATATATTCAATGTAATTTTATTTTAAAATATGCCACACATACACACACACATCACCTATTCACACATGCATGGATGATAATTTTACATACTAATGAGTAACAAAGAGAAAAAATCGACACACACATTTTTATATACACACATACACACACGCTCGCGCGCGCACACACACACACCACATTGTGTATATTGCATATATATATGTGTGTGTGTGTGTGTAATACTAGAAAAATATGTACATATATCTAAAGTATTCTGTTTAAAAAAATGAAATAAAATAAATCGAAGTTACACGAAAAAACACAGTACATATATATATCAATTAAAGAAGAAAAATTTGGGAAAATATTATGTAACAATATAGTTTGTACTTATTTGTTCGTCAATTAAGTATATATCACGCAATAATGATGGTAATTAATGGTAAAATAATGACAATATTACTTACCAACAAACTCGACCGTGCATTTCCGTTAATTTCTCTCGCGCCTTCTTTCTCATTTCACAATGCTACCAACTGAATATTTACGTTCGTCACTAGATACGAATTGTTGCCACTTTTCTAATGCCAACAATTTGTATCTAATAACACTGCAGTAGTGTGCAAAAAAATTAACAAAAATGTGTGGTCGAGCTTGTTGGTAAATAATTTTAATTTATTAATAATTTCTATAATTATTGTATAATATATTTAACTGTGTACATTTGAGTTTATTGGTAAAATAAAATTTTGTCATTATTTTATCATTAATTACTATCATCATTATGTGTGATACATTTAATTGATCAAAACCTTATAATTCATATAAATATCTTATAAAACATTGTAATTTACAGTTCATTGGATCCAGACACTTTGTGTTATGCGTGTGGATATAAAGATGCCAATGGTAAACAACAGGAACTGACATGGGCTAAAACTGAATTAAAATATACTCCATCATTTAATATGGGCCCACAAGATGTTTTGCCTTGTATGGTATCTGGTTCACATTTTGAAGGAGAAAAAGAAAGAGTCCTTTGTGCCATGATATGGGGAATGATACCACCTTGGCATAAGGTGAGTGAATATATTAGAGCTTCAATATAAAATCAAATATAACAACTATTTTATATGTCAGCTTGTTATTCAATATCTTCTAACACATTTTTTTTCTTCAGGGAGATTACAAGAAACGGTCAGATAAATTATCCACCCATAATGGTCGTCTGGAAAGTATACAAACCTCAAAACTATACTCTACATCGCTACGAAATCGACAAAGATGCATTGTAATCTGTGAGGGTTTCTATGAGTGGAAAGCTGGTATAAATAACAAATCTCCAAAGCAACCGTATTATATATATGCAACTCAAGATAAAAGTATAAAAGCAGATGATCCTACAACATGGGGTAATGAATTTACCGAGCTAGATGGATGGAAAGGTTTCAAAGTATTGAAATTGGCTGGAATATTTGGAACATTTGAAACTGAAGAGGTATTACAAGCTTTTTTCTACATCCTGTTTTATTATATCAGAAATAATTAATATTTAAGATATTTGTAATGGATTGTATTATTATTATAGGGGAAAATCATACATAGCTGCACAATTATTACAAGAGAGAGTAACAAGGTTTTGTCCTGGCTGCATCATCGCATGCCAGTATATCTGAACGATGAAGAAGAATGTCAAGTAAGGCTTTGTATAATATCATTACATATCATTTGTAGAAAGATATGAGATTAATATAAGGATACTGTATATTTTTTCTATATTTTTTATATATTTCATAAAAATATATTTTCTTTTATTAGGCATGGTTAAATAACGATCTGCCAACAGATGTAGTGATTAAAGGATTAAATAACATGATATTACCAGAACAAGCTTTAAGTTGGCATTCAGTATCCACGATTGTCAATAATGTACTTCATAAAACTGCTGATTGTAGAAAAGAGATAAAACCACAGTAAGTAAAAATCTTTTAAGTTAAAGATAAATCTTTTCAACTTTATTTCTAATTTGTTTTTAATATTGAATGATAAGATTAAATAAATTATTGATTTTTCTTGTATAGAGAAGAGAAAAAAGATAGTAGACAATCTTTTATGGATTCTTGGCTGCTAAAAGGATCAACTACTTTAAATAAAAGAAAAAGTACAGATACTAATAAAAATACAAACAATGAGGAAGACGAAAAAAAGGCCTCAAAGATTCAGAAGAAAAATTAAAATTTGTACAAATTGGGGCGCATTTTTAATTTGCGCGGAGCACATATTTGCTGTTAATTATTTATATATATAGAATAATTTATTGTATTCTCTCAGTATTTTTTTAAGATGTACTATATCCCGCCAATGTGCTCTTAAAAGTGTTGAATGCAGATATCTTGTTGCAGGTATCTTAAAAAGGACAAGATATACTGTAAATATGTGACATTTATATGTATATATATTAATTATTAATTTAATTATATTTTTTATTTAATAGTAAATATATATTTATTAAATAAATATTAAGCAAATATATATATATATATATATTATTTACTATAAAATCTTGATTAGAATTGTTATAACATCTATACTTTTATATATAAAACATACATATCTTTTGCATAATATTTAAAATATTATTAATATTTTATTATATCACACACATTAAAAGAAATATAAATAATTCGAATAATTCCCCCAACTCGGAGCAAACATTCGTCCAATAGCGTCGATTCGAAAACTTGGGAACCGCAAGGTTGGCAACATGAGAACAGTCTTTGGTAAATCTGCATAGTTGGAGTGCGTTCAGAAATCGTGCAGTAAAATAGCACTAGATTGACCAATGAGGACGAGGAAATCTTTGCTCCTTCTCTATCCTGATTGGTCAATAAAATACTACTTTATCCCACGGGTAGGATTGCCGAACGTACCTTTGCGCATGCTACGGTCTACGGTGGACCATAGGTTACGTACGCAAGACACAAGTGCGTGTCCTCCGCGGACGGAACACAGACAGAGCCGCTCTTTGCGTTGTGCGATTCTTTTTCGTCGTCGTTGTGCTTCCGTGATTTCACAACGCGGAGACTGCTATTTCGCCGACAAGACAATCGACACATGGCACGTTAATACGAGGTGACGTTAAATCGAGTGGCAGGAAAGCGAAAGGGATCGAAAGAGGGTGTATATGTGTGTGTCCAACGCGCACGGCCCAGCCTCTTCGTAACTGCGTGAGTGCGTGCGTGCTTGCGTGCTTCTATTTCTACGTCCTGTTAGGAGCATCCAGGAGATTTAAGAGTCGTCAGGATGACCAGCAGTGAGCAAACACGCGAGCAGACAATCAGCAACGTCGAGACCGAGTATTACGAGATCAACTCCAAGGGCGCTTGGCCGATGCTCTATCAGGTGAGAGAAAAAACGAGGGTGAAGAAAGGAAGGAAGGAAGGAAGGAGAAGGGAAGAGAGAGGAGAGAGAGAGAGAGAGGAATGCCTCGCTC